ATAAAGACTAATTTTCACCCTGGAACTAAAAGTCATCAACCTGCAAGTCACTTAACCAGGGTTCTTGAAGCATTTCTCCTTGTACCTGCATTATCCTGTACAGACAACAGCGCGGGGTTAAAAATTACCTTTTTTCCCCCCTGCAGTCCCTGTCAGTTATTGTGAAAAGCTTTCTGATGCTTCCAGAGATGTAGCAACAGTAGCGTCTTCATTCCTATTCAAAGCCACCCTGCCTGCAATATCAAAACAGAAGAATAAATTGAAGGTGTGGTTATATATTTGGAGAACACAGGAAATCTTTGTGTCAATAGTACCACCTGCTGGATTTCGGGAAGAGAGGCAAAGACTAATCAAGATCGATAGAAGCCAGATTAAGACGCAATTCAATACCATTCTTGTACAAATGCCACCATAACTAAACCGTTACAAATGAACCAGGAGCGAATTGCCAGGTATTCTAATGAGCTGCCAAAAACCCACAGAAAGGTCACTGTCATTTTTATATGTATGTCTTGTTAAATCAAATATTCAAAACTCACTACACACAATTAATGACATGAATTAAAAAAAAAAAAAAGTCAAATTGGCCAGTTTACCAACCCCATTTAAAGCAATGTGCTATTACTCTTACTGTTAAAGTAAGAGTTTATTTTTTTTTTTAAGTTGATTGCATAACTAAAGTGTCATTCCACCACAGGATTATTTGGCAGAGTGCAGGAAGTGGACAAAAATGCTCCCATAAAACAAATGAACAAAAAACCCCCCACCCTATCATCCGTTACTATTGAGCTACCAGGCGTTGATATTTCTGATCTCACAGCATCAAGAAATAGCGCAGCACGAAATTAATCCAAGAGCACTGCAAACAGCTTTGCTCCATCAAGCGATCGCCGCTGTGCTTATGAAGATGAGCTTCCCCCCTCTCACAGGCGAAGGGCAGAGGGATGCTCTGCGCTGTTCACTCCCAACACAGGCAGCAAGCTTCCAGGAGGAACAGAAAACGCAGAAATTGAGCATTAGGGATTAGGAGGGAAGGGAGAGACGGTTACCTGCCACCGCGTGCTTTCATATACGCTTCCTGAGGCAACGCAGGTGGACTCAGCCAAAAACCACGGGACAGGTCTGTGTTTATTAGCACGGTCACACAACCACCCGAGAGAATCAGCTGCCCCTGTGCTCCAGGCCAGGGAGCATTCTGTCAGTCCTCACCTGGCTCTTGGAACACAGCAAGGCTAACTCCTCACTCATCTAGAGCCCAAATTATCCTAAAAGTGTGAGTTTGTATGCAATTTTCAAGCTGTCACGGGTTATCAGTGTATCTAAACACAGAAAGAGCCTGTTGATTTAATTTCAAACTACACACACTCAGAATTTCTTTAAGCTTATTCCAGAAAGTCTCAAGAAGTAACGAGTTATTAAACAACCTCAAACTAAGTGATTTTACCAAAAGGTTATCCGTAGAACTTCAGCAGTAAAAACATAAGCCTTGAAAACCCTCAGGGATAACCTATAAAGCCTTTGTTATCGAACAAAGAGTTGTTACCATGTTTCCTGCTGTTGCTCAGTAAACAACTGCCTGCCTTATGCAAGCACTTCTGAAGAGCTGAGGTTTTGCTTGAACCACTCACCTTTTCAGTTTTGTGTTCTGTAGCTCGTATTACCAGAAAGTTGTGCTCTTTCTCTATGCAGAGTTCTGTCCAAGTGCGCTTCAATCTTCCTCTAAACCTTTTAGGTGCAGGAAAGTGTATTTTAGCTGCACTCAAGGATCACCTGATGGATCAAACAAGGAACTGCAACCAGCCAAGAACCCCTCAGTTCCAACCTAAAGCTTGACAAACAGTAATTACTTAATCCACATAACCATAAAACAACAGCATCTTCAGACTTTAAAAATAAGAGTAAAAAAAAAAAAATAACACTTTCATTACAAAGAGGAAGTTAAATCATAACACGTTACACCACGCAGCAGCAAAGTTACAGGACTTTTGTTGCAGCTCCCAGGGCAACACAACACAGACCAGACCCTCTGCTAGAGCTTTTGTGCACTCCTGCAGACAATCTCAGCCTGGTTAGCTGAGATGGGCGGCAGGTGAGCCTCCTTCTGCTCCCCTTCCACGAGACTGATTAATTTCCCACGATGGCAGCAAGGCTTTCGATGTTCAGAAAGCTCAGGACCATGTTGTGAGTTGTGTAGGCTACTTCATTCAGCAACACAATAATCCTCTCCAATGGCTAATTATAGCTGCTGGGAACAAACACAGGAACTTAAATTAGTACTTTACAATAATGTAGGACATAATGGACACGTAGAATAAATCACAGGACAAGAATATTGGTGCAAAAAGATACACCTTGATCAAAATCACAGAGGCAGGAAAGAAGCTGGGTAGACCCTGCATTGTTTATGAAGAATACATATTGTGCTCTTCACATAATCCTTGGGGATGGATGTACATACAAATTCAGGAAATGTTGCTGAAGAGGGTAATGCTGGAGACTACTATAAATAACTTGAAAAGAAGGTGGCAAGATTTTAAGAAAGAGAAATAGCAGAACAGCCAGAAAAGAAGAAAAAAAACTTTTGGAAAACTTGGTATCAGTGAACAGAGGAAACCGATGAAGGCCAGCAAGGACAGAAATTCTGGCATGGCAGTTCCTGGCAGTAAGTCACAGCAAAACATTTCAAAGAGGACTGAACTGGTTTTGGCTGGGATAGAGTTAATTTTTTTTCCCCTTATAGCCGGCATAGTGCTGTGGTGTGAATTTAGTATGAGAATAATGTTGGTAACGCACTGATGGTTTAGTTGTTGCTAAGTAGTGCTTACACTAAGTCAAGGACTTTTCAGCTTCTCCTGCCCTGCCAGTGAGAAGCTGGGAGGGGGCACAGCCAGGACAGCTGACCCACGCTGGCCCAAGGGCTATTCCATACCATGTGACGTCATGACCAGAATATAAACTGGGGCGAGTTAGCCAGGGGTGGGTGACTGCTGCTTGGGGATGGGTTGGGCACTGATCAGTGGATGGTGAGCAGTTGCATTGTGCATCACTTGTTTTGTATATTATTGTTGTTGTTATTATTACTATTATTTCCCCTTCCTTTTCTGTCAGCAGTCCTTTCTGGCACCCAACGTGGGGCTCAAAGGGTTTGAGATGAGAGATCTGACCTGTACGTGATGTAAATGGCACGGAATAAGGGGTGGAGAACATGCTGGTTTGGGCTGGGGTAGAGTTAATTTTTTTCATAGTAGCTAGCCAGGGGCTGTGGTTTGGATTTGTGCTGGAAACAGTGTTGATAAGGCAGGGATGTTTTATTTACTGCTGAGCAGGGCTGACACAGAGTCAAGGCCTTTTCTGCTCCCCCCCCACCCTACCAGCGAGCGGCTGGGAGGGCAGAAGGAGCTGGGAAGGGGCACAGCCGGGACAGCTGACCCCAACTGACCGAAAGGGTGTCCCACACTGTATGATGTCATGCTCAGCATATAAAGCTGGGGGAAGGAGGATGAAGGGGGGGACATTCAGAGTGATGGTGTTCATCTTCCCAAGTCACCGTTACGGGGCCCTGCTTTCCTGGCTATCGCTGAATACCCACCTGCCCGTGGGAAGGAGGGAATGAACTCCTTGTTTCGCTTTGCTTGCATGCCTGGCTCTTGCTTTCCCTATTAGACTGTCTGTATCTCAACCCACGAGTTTTCTCACTCTTCTGATTCTCTGCCCCATCCCACCAGGGGGACGCGAGTGAGCGGCTGCGTGGGGCTGAGCTGCCGGCTGGGGTTAAACCATGACAAGGGCAAGAGACGCAAGGCAAAATAAAGCATTAATCCATCTAAAACCTGGAGCTTTCTAAGTGACACGAGCATTTAAAAATATGAAAATAGGGGGAAAAAAAACCCCAACCCAACACGTACATCTCAGGGTGCACATAAGCAATTAGCAAAGAAACGCGAAGAATGTTTTCCTCCGCTAGA